TTGGTGGGGTTTATATATCTGTGAGCTAAGCGACTAAGCGACTGAGCGACTAAGCAACTAAGCGACTAAGCGACTAAACAACTATATAGTTAAGCGATTAAGCGACTAAGCGACTGAGCGACATGTTAATAATAATACAATATAATAATAATAATATTCTAAGATAATAATTGATAATTAATAATAATAAACTAATGAACTAATAATAATTAATTCGTTCTATAACACTATATAAATTTTGCCTTTTTTGGAATCTGGAGTTTTCCAAAGAAAAACTTTTTCTTCACTAAGTAAATATCATTCCAAGCTTTAAGTAAAGTTGTATAGGAGTTTCTTGTGATCAAAATGGCAGTTAAAACATTAAAATCAGCCTAGTGAATCATGAGATATATGTACTTTAGTCTTTGCAACTATATGTTTTCTTCTTTATTTATAAGGAAGAAAACATATAGTCACGAAGACTAAAGTACTTGTATTTCACGATCCACTAGGCTGATTTTAACGTTTTAACTGCCATTTTGATCACAAGAAACTTCTTTACAACTTTACTTAAAGCTTGAAAAGATGTTTACTTAGTAAAAAAAGTTTTTCTTTAGGAAATTCTAGATTCCAAAAAAGCAAAATTCAATAGTAAATTTTTCTACAATTTACTAATTAATTTTACCTGGTTCTTATGCGGGTCACGAATTAAAAATAACAATGACGTTTATCAAGGGTTTGATCAGTTATTGTTTGGCTATAAAAAGGATTACAGATCACTAATTGACTCTCTCTTTCTTATTTTGAGCGAAAATTGATAGTATGGCAAAGACAATCTTGAATCAAGAAGGGTTAATGCAGTTTATCTTATAAGGGCTATTTTATATCAAGAGTGCTAAGAGTTAACAGGGAAAATTGATTTAAAACCTACAAAAAGGTTCACAATCCAGTATATGAATACTTATTTACTATTATATACAAATTATATACTGACTATAAAGTCTTCGCATAAGATTTCAATTCTAAATTCAGGTCAAATTTGCAATATATTTTTTTTTTAAATTGGTAATTCTTAGAGCTCTTACCCAGGTTAGAAACTAGTGACCTGGGTTAATAATTACGGGTCAGGTATCAACTCAGATTATGACTCGGGTTAATATATAAATTTATATATCTGAGTATATATTACTTTATTATCGCTATATATCTAAATTAAGTTTTCATATAGGCTAATTTGAGAAACTATATAACTCAAAATTTTATTCAGTTTGAAATCTTAACAAGGTCTATTTGAATCTATATTTTTGTCAAATGATGCTTCTTAGCATAACTTAGCCAATAAAAAAAATAAAAGAACTTTAAATAATTTGACAGAATTTGCTAGTACAGTAGTAGGCATCATGTATAGTATGTGCTATTAAAACACACTATTGTGCCTGGCACATATTTATTTTGTTACTGTGTCTTGTTATACAATATACTGAAATTTTATTGGTTTCAGGCCAATTAACTTTAGGTTTGGCAGCCAATTTTTTTTGATCTGTTTGACCCGAGTTAGATAAAAATTTGACCTGTGCCCCATTAGAATGCTGACCTGTCAGATCAACCTAACCCAGGTCATAGCTCTAGTAATTCTATTCTTCTTTACTGATTCAATACTGACTCGAATTTTTTTGCATAATTCAAATCAAGTCAATACTGACTAATTTTTTTACATAATCAAATCAAGTCTTCACTTGCAACTTCAATTCTAAATTCAGGTCAAGTTTTGCAGTATTCTTTTTTTTTAAATTGATAATTCTATTCTTCTTTACTGATTCTATTCTGACTATAATATTTTATTATATAATTCAAATCGAGTCTTCGCATAAGACTTCAATTCTAAATTCAGGTCAAGTTTTGTAATATTCTTTTTTTTTGAATAGATAATTCTATTCTCTTTACTGATTCTATACTGGCTATAAAGTCTTATAAATTCAGATCAAGTTTCTTAGTATTTTTTTTCTTTAAATAAATAATTCTATTCTCTTTACTGATTCTATACTGACTATAAAGTCTTCGATTAAGATTTCAATTTAAATTCAGGTCAAGTTTCGCAGTATTCTTTTTTTTAATAGATAATTCTATTTTTCTAGAATAACTTTTTTTTATTTTTATATAATCCAAATCAGGTCTTCAGATTACCGTATCTGGTTATGACTAATATTAAAATTCTTTCGTTATGATCTTTATTATTATAATAAGACTATTGGTGAAATGAATTGCTAAAGTTGAGATTCAATTAAACTTTTCAGTGTGATGTATTGTTAGTAAAACATATTGTCAACGAAATGTATTGTCAGTGAAATGTATCCGTCAGCAAAACGTATTGTCAGTGAAACATATTGTCAGTGAAAAAAACGTGTCGGTGAAGTGATTGTTGGTGAATCAATTGTTAGTGTATTAAACATGTTGGTGAAGTAAACATGTTGGTGAATTAAATGTTAGTAAAATAATTGTCGGTAAAATAAGCTTGTCGGCAAATTGACTGTCTGTAAACTGAGATGTCAGTGAACTTATTGTCAGTGAAATAACATGTATCCATTTTATCTAGAGTGTGGCCTGGAGACTTAAAATCTGTAAAAGTATAAGCTAAAACTAAAGGAAGCTGGAGTCTTTTTGCATTTTAGATCCATCGAGTTATCAGATAGTATATGTGCAACCATGTTTTATTGGATATATTAGTACATAGTTAGTTGGTACAGTGAAACCTCCCTAAGTGCATTCTTCCTAAATGCACACCCTCTTTAAGTGCACACTATAGCTTGGTCCCAAGCTTGGGACTTAATGCTAAGTGCACCCTCCAACCTCTGCACGTGCATAGGTTTTTACAGCCTGGACCTATATGTGCACCCTCTATAAATGCATGCACGTGATCAATATAAACATTCTACCAATTGGAATGGTAGTTTTGTCGGATGTTCTCAGAGAGGTAGATAATAAATAAACATAAAAGATGAATATAGTTATTGAAAAAACATGGAATACTGTTAATTGTTTAGTAGAGTAGAAAAAAAATACTAATTCTATAAATGCACACCCTCCCTAAGTGCACGCTATAGCCTGGTCCCAAGAGCGTGCACTTAGAGAGGTTTCACTATAGCCGTCATATGTATTTGGTTTTAAATCGATTAGCTCTATAATAACATATTTTGGGGGTTTAGCAAGTATAATAAGATTTTTTTTTGAGAGAATATATTAATAGAGCTTTTGTCAATTATTATTTATTTGATCAATCCTCTAGCACTATTTGCTAAACCATCATTGATGTATATATTAATGGTTAAAATAATTCTCATTCCAATAGAAATAGATAAAATTCCGAAAAGAGCATTTTCTTTTATATCAGATGTTGATAAGAATTTTCTACATATGTTTTCTGTTAAAGGTTTTCGGCAGTAAGTATCTTCTAAACAGAAATATATTATTAGTTGATTTTGTTTCAAGATGAATTCTATTGTGAATTCAAGGTTTAATTGAATGTGTAAATCATTTCTTGTTACTAAAAAAGTGGCATTTTCTTATTCGTGATTATTCTTGATTGTAATGCTTCTTGTTGCTGTTTGTTTAGGGTTCTGGTGCATAAGTTGGATAAAATGTTTGCATAAATAGAATCATTTATTTGGCACATAGATTTTTTCAAATATATAACATTTTTTATACTTAGCTATAAATTTCTTCCTATGGCATTCATAACAGTACAATTATTAATTGGTAAGTTATTTTGACAATATTTACATTTTTTAGAATTAGAATTCGTTTTTGCATTATTTGAACTTTGGAATTCATTTGTTAAATTAATTTGAGTAATTTTATTTGAAATATATAAAGCAGGATCGAGAACTAGAGGTAATTGTATAAAGTCTCCAGAGAAAATAATGTTGAGATTAGCAAAAGAGCAGTTGTGTTAGAGGTTTTAACAATTTTTAAAAAGATGTAAAAACATATAAGGAGAGATTGACTGATTATTGAAATTTTATCTATAATTACGTATTCTTTTTTACTCCAAGAATCTTGTAGTTTATATAAGGAATCGCCTGATTGATCATTGTTTTTATTATTAAATTCTTTAAAACAAAATCCACATGCGGAATGAATGGTGTATCCATTTATGTTTGCTGCAGCAATACCTGTAGGTGCGAGGACTACAATAGAATCACTTTGACTAGTAAGATTGAAATAGGAACAAATTGCACTAGTTACTTTTGATTTACCAATGCCACCTGCTCCAGTTAAGAATAATAATAATTGAGTTGGTTTTTCGGGATTATTAGAATGATTCCTAAGTCAATAGTTACACACAAGAAAGTAAGCTTTTTGTTGTTCATCATTTAATTCTTTTGCATATTGGTTTATGTAATCTGGATCATTATTTATTCTTGATTTAGTATTTAATTGATCTTTGTAATTTTTAGCAAGATAAATCTTAACGAGGTCATTAAGGGAATTAATTCTAGAGGTTGTTTTTTAAGATAAAATTGTAGCTTGCAAAGATTTAAGAAGATTATTATCACAATCATTACTTAAACAAATACTGTTTTCACTGGTTAAATTGTAATTTTTAATGGGATCAGACGTAAAGTTTAGAGAAATATGTGAATCAAAAGAACTAGAATATTTATTTAAAAGAAATCTACTTCTAATACGTAGATAATTCATAGCATCGTCTACTGCATTTGTATTCTTTAACCCTGACCTGATTATTTGAAATGGATTAATATGAATAGTCAAGTTATCATATTGAGAAGTTGAATCTTGATAATTAAGATTATCAGTTAATAAATCTAAATCGTCGTCAAAATTATCCATTTGTGAATGGCTAATTCATTGAATTTTCACATATATCAAATCATTTTTTGCTTTTTGTTGTAATTCGCGATTCAAAGCTGTCTCTTCTGAACATCTGTGAATTAATTCTATATTATTGATAATTGTTCCTAATCTTAGAGATAATGAAAATTAGTAAGAAAAGATTGACAGGCTTCTGCCCATGAGTTATAATCTTCTCTGAGATAATAAACATTTTCCCACGGTTTGAAAAGGAAAAGAATATATAATCTATAGCATTTAATATTTTCATTGTCATCTTGTTTTAGCACACCTTTGCTGCATAGCACAACTATTCTTTCTGTTCTGCATTTAGATGGATTTGTAAGTGTGTTTTATATTGTAGATGAAAGTTTGTATGATTATAAATTTGTTCATTGGTAAAATCATAACTGTAGAAAAAAAAGTGATCAACAAGCGCAGTGCCATCTCTTGAGGTTTAAGTCATTAACATAGATAGATCGTGTGTACTTATCGGAATTTTATAGTAGTAGATGCATAATCATAGAGACACATATTACATAATGATGAATTTCTGAACTGGTAGTCAATGCGAATATTTGTCACTGTTAAATTACCATTAAAGGAAGTAATTAATAAAAATTTATAAAATGAATATTTTTCATTATCAGGTTCATTATTTACTTCCAAGCTATCCAAAGGTAGATCATTAAATATATTTTGATATGTAGCCCATTCAATAGTTAAGTAGTTTTCAATTGAGTGAATATATAGATGAGTAAATTTGTATGGAATGTAGTGACCTTTGATTCCCAATAAATAAGCAAATACTTGTGGACCAGTAAATTCTGTGTAAGCAGCTATCTTATTAAGAAATTTTATAATTAACTTGCAGAAATAATCTATTATACTAAAAGAAGTATCATCAGATGCTTTTTTAAAAAAAGTTTCCAATGTAGCAGAGCATAGTAAAAATGAACTATGTGTATTTAAATCAGATTTTGTAATGTATTCTGTAATGTAGTAAATATAAGCTAAAGAAAATTTTCTCACAAAAATAAATTTGATATCTTTGTTTCCTCAGCATGATGCAGTTAGATAGAGATTGTGGTTATTTATAAAAGCATTTGTGCGTTGAAGTGCGATAATGCCTTGTTCCGGGAATATAAAGCCAGGAGGATTAACCAATTCTCTAGAAAAATTAAATCTGCAATTTTTTTGCAAACCACAATTATATTTTTTGCATGTTTGGGTGCAACAGTGATATAAAGTGCATTTGGTAATTTCGAGCAAATCTAGGCATAACTTTTCATTGAAATCCAGTGAATCATGGTTTGGAATAGGTAAAAAAGAAGGGTGTATTCATTTTTCTAGTATCAGTTTAGGTGTCCTATATGGATGTTCTATAGAATAGGTGGGCAAACTCTGCAAACTCCGCAACTCCGCTAAATATTTATTAATGATTACTAATTATTGGCGGAGTTTATTTTTTATATTGCCCATCTATTCTATAGAACATCTCCCTATACTCCGCTTCAAACATTTTATATTTTCTTTACTAAGGTAATTAATATCTTCTTTAATTATGTTATTAAGATATAGAAGTAAGCATTGACCAAATATTTTGTCGTCTTTAAGCCGTTGGTGTAACTCGATCAGATTAAGCGAACCATAAAGCCAAATTTGTAAATGACAATGGGGGTGTTCTATGATCTTGATACTCAACAACCCCATAGTAATTTTTTATACTGTCAAAAATACTGCCTTCCTTATTATTATATCCAATAATAGTTTCTAAAATGCAGGTTATTATAAGATCAAAATACTTTGCGATAGCAGAGGATCTAGATGAGAAAGTTTTACGCGTTTAGTAGCTTTTGGAAAACTTTGTGGCAATAGATTATTATAGTCTATTTCTTCACAAGTATATAACATGACTATAGGGCTATGTAGATCAGCTGGGTTTATTGTTATGAATAGCGAAGGCATACTATTATGTATTGTGACAGCGAATATTTCATTTCTTATATATTGTTGTAACTGATAAGATCCTATTAACTTAGAGCCTGCGAAGTTAACATTACATAGTAATTCAAGAATTGTAGAATTGGTTATTTTTTGGTTATTTTGTATTTGGACAATAGTTAGTTGTATATCTTCAATTTTAATCGATGAGATCAAATCGGCAGAGCATTGAAATGAGATGCTTTTAGTTAAATTATATATTTCTGTAGATACTTCTCTTCATTGCAGAATATTGAAGGCAATAAAAATAAATGAGCGGTGTTGGTGAAACTTTGGATCATTATGATGCATAAGGTAGTTAAGGTATTCTTTCAATGTAATACATGGATTTTGACCTTTATGACCACCTACACCATATGGGAAAAGTACTAGAAATCCAGCTAAAAATAGCGATGGATCATTATACTCATTTAAAGGCACATTATCATGTGGCATACATATTACTGGGGTTTGTAAATTTTTAGGGTATATTTTTTCTTGACTTATATTGTTAGTTAATGTCTCATTTTTAGATCGGTAATTAGATTTACTAATAAGTTTATATATAGATAGCAATGTTAATTCATTTTCTGATACTGATACATTATCTGCATTTATAAGACCAAAAGGTCTAAGTTTAGACACATTGTTGTTATTAATATTAAGATCAGTTTCATTATCAGTATTACTACCAGAATCATTGTAATCATCTAGAGAATCATGACTATAACCAGTGTAATATTCTACTTTACATGAATCAATATCTACAGTAGTAGTTGTTAACAATAATGAGTCAGGAATTTTACTCTCAAGTAAATCATCCAATGCGGTTTTATCAAATTTTAATTGTTTATATAGAATATTATGTTTGAAAAGCCAATGAAGCACAGCACTTACTTTACTTTTTCGAACTTGGAGTACTTTTTTAAGGTGATTTTTTATTGGAATTCCTTGTCCAATGAATACTACTTTTAAATATTCATTTAGTTTAAAGATTAGTAAATGTAGAATTTTTAGTAGTGAGGATAGATTTTGAGATAACATTATAATATGTCCTTTGATTTTATAATAAGAATGCTTTCTCTTTGTTAATTGTATAATGTTTGCGCATAGATAACCTGGTGAGATTAAGAGCTGTTCTAGAATTGTTAAACCTTGAAGACATATCGAAGTGGGACCTATCTATATATTATTTAATATTGATAGTGGTGGCATTTTGTTTTTCTTTAAATAGGTATAGCAGTAATTACAAATTTGTAATTTAAACGAATTGCTGCAAAAATCAAAGTTGTTTTTCTCTTAGTAATCATTTTTAGAGTAAATAAAACCAGCATGATTAAGAAAAACCTGGAATTTGATATTGTCAATATTCAGATAAGCATAGTTAAAATCTATTTCAAATGATGAGGAAGTAAGTTGAACTGGTGCTTTTACTGATGAGAGATTAATTTCTTTCACACAAATCTCTTCAAAATCACTGATACAACACATTTTTGAGCAAAGTATATGCTAACTCTTTCAGACTCTCTAAGCTAGTCATTTTACAAAATTTAGATAAAACATTTTTTGCAATGTTTGTCAACAATTTGTGGCCAGTCTGAATAAGTTTTATTTGATTTACCAAATTCTTCATTTAACTCTAGTACACGAAAAGAGATGTCTGCAGTTTTAGCTTGTTCATCTTTAGAAAAATAGTAAATCGTTTTCTTAAGCTTTTGCTTTTTGCAAAGGGCTCTCATATGTTGTTTAGTTTTGATTTTTTCTATTTTATGAAATTTCACGTCTGTTCGATTAGACTTTTGCCATTCCCTATCCTTTTCTTTTTTAATTTGTCCTTTAGTCTTAATAGGATTCATAATTAAGGTAATATTTAGTCGTATTTAATAAAGAGTGATTTTTATTTATAAAGAATACGATTAGCTTGTAATTATCTTATTGTGATAATTTGGAGTGTGTCAAAGTTTTATTATTTTTCATTGCATAAAATGGGAAATATGTTAAATTTTAAATTCATATACTAAAAAGAATTATTTTTTTTATATAGCGTTAATTGATCATTTTTAGCATTGCCTTCATAATTTTATTCATTAATCTGAATTAAACTTAGATCGCAGGTAGTAGAATCTAATCTTAAAATAAGTATAGTCATTATTTTATTGGTAAAGATATTATAAAGATAAAGAGTTTCAGAAATAGATATATAGGTTTAAATGTATTGTTAAATTAAGGTAAAAGAATCCAAATAGAGTATATATAAAATGGGAAATATGTTGAATTTTAGATTCATATACTAAAAAGAATTATTTTTTTATATAGCGTTAATTGATCGTTTTTAGTATTGCCTTCATAATTTTATTCATTAATCTGAATTAAACTTAGATCGCAGGTAGTAGAATCTAATCTCGAAATAAGTATGGTCATTATTTTATTGGTAAAGATATTATAAAGATAAAGAGTTTTAGAAATAGATATATAGGTTTAAATATATTGTTAAATTAAGGTAAAAGAATCTAAATAGAGTATACTAGTTATAATTAAAAAAAGAAAAAGAACATTCGTTATACGGTAAATAAAGTAAATTCATGAATATCGTAACAGTAAAGTCCAAATTGGAATCGAGTTTAAACTAGGTTTGAATATGATCGCACATATATAGTAATAAAAAATGAAGTTCATTTGGTTATTAAAAATCGTACCTTATTATAGCAAGCTTTAGTAGTTATAGAAGCATAAGCAAATATCTTGATAATCATATGGTGCAATAAAGGTAATACAATATTGGCAGTATTCAATTAAGTTTTTAAAACCTGATCATTTTAAGAATGTTTATTTTTTTTCATACAGGTGAATTTTAATTTGTTATATAATAACTGTAATAAGCAAGTGTCAATCAGGTTTTTATACAACAATCATGTACATTGTTTAATATATATATAATAATTGGATAGTAATACACAGATTAAAGCTAATATGTGATTAAATTTTTTAAGAATAGATCTACATTATACATTTTATTCAACAATGGTATTCTGATTGAAAATTTTGGGGATATCCTTGTACGTAGAATTTTAGATCTACAGCAATCACTAGTATGATCAATAAGGCATATAGTAATACATTTAACAGGTTATATTTCTAGAAATAGACAAATTAGAAATATTAAAAGTAGAATTTAACTGTGGTTAGCAAATAATTAATTTTCAAGAATTAATATTGTATTACAGTAAAATATTGTACAATTACTCAAATTAGGGTTTGTTAAAAGCTTGTTTTATATATGAACAAGATAAGGACCGTAAATTAGTTAAAAATCTTAGAAAATCATATAAATTGAGATTTTTTTACCAAGTGATAAGATCAAATATTATTTTCAATTTGATAGTGTAATCTATTCACATGTTATCGAAAAAAAATTGTGCTGTTTTATATAAAAGTTGGACCTTAAACAGTTCAATTTTTTTTTTCTCAATCATAATAGGTTCGGAGTGTTATAAGAAATAATGCCATCCATATTTCTCTTCTTATTGTTATCATTTCAGCAAAGAATAATTGATTATGTTCGTATGGGGTGGCTAAATATAAACATTCTAGTCAAATTTTACATACCATTAGATGGAAACATTTTTTTTTCTCCAAATGAATCACTTCAACTGTTCAATTTTGGAGATATTGTATTTATTTCTGGTAAATACGTAGTAGAAAATCATGAGGAGTGCGTGACTGTCACGTATGCTAATATCATCGATATCAGGAAACCTGAACGTGAATTTGATATGACAAGTGTTTCCGTATGTGTTTCTCATTTTATGATTTCTGTTAACATAAATCATAATGCAAAAAAACTGAAGAATTCATCCATTTTGGAGTAGATGTATAAAATATAACGGTGTTACAAGATCAACTAATATCAAAATGAAAATGATTGTTTTATACCCTTTACAGTCTATGAGATTTAAGCATTTAGACTTATTGGGAATTAATATTAAAGTAACAAATAATTATCTTATCTCAGGATTTATCAAATTCTCTGATTCTAGTAAAATGCTAATAGAAGCAACAGATATCGATTATTCAAAATCTTCAATATATAATCTCACAGTTCCCGAAATTTCATTCGATAAAATACAAAAGACTTATTCGATCATTGACATTATAGCTGATGATTCTAAATCCAGTACTATGCAAACTTCTAACTATTAAATTTCTTCCAAGAGCTCATTCGTTTTTGCCAACACTGAAGCAGAAATTAAACTGATTTTTGAACAAAAAAGTAATATGAACTTAGAAGCTGAGAATGATAATGAAGAACAGCAAAGTAATCATAAAGAAGCTGAGAATGATAACGAAAAACAACAAAGTGATTATGAAGAAGAAAAAGAAATACTTTCTAATAAAGATGTGAAGACAACAGGTAAAAATGAAGAAGATCAACCTAAAAAAAAAAAGTGAAGCAATAGAATAAGTGAGAAGGAAAAAGGAAAAAATCAGTGAAATAAATCAAAAGAAAGTAAATATTAAACATATTGCTATATTACTAATGATCCTATTATTAAAAATCGATCATAATAGTAATTAGAGTAATAATAAAAAATAATTATTATAAATGACCAATTATTTAGCATACCAGTCGATCACGTGATACCGGGCAAAATTTTTTAAGTTCGTTAATGTTAGGGTTAGGGCCTACGACAAGGTTAGGGTTAT